ATTTTTAGTAAGAAATAGACAATATTGGGAAACCATTCGTTCTTTCAATCACTTTTGCAATAATACATTATACTTGGTTGACAGGTTCGTCATGGTACGAATATGAGTCATATTACAATAAGCTTACTTTAAGCTTACATTGAAATAAGATTGTTTTTGGAAAGGTTATGGTAGGCCCCACGGTTTCATTGACGCTTTAAAGCGGCAATGGCGGTCAATAGGGGAAGTTTTTCGTATTTACTAAATGAACTTTTGCCTAAGGTTAAGCAAGAAATTAAATTTAAATTTTGATTACTTCGTAATCCGTTGTTTAAATTTAAGCAAAAGTTCGTTTTGTTAATACGAAAAACTTTCTTAGCTCGCCATATTTGCTTAGTCGAAGTCAAAGTTCGTTTTATATGAAGTTCGGTCTGTATGAAGTAAACATACACACTCAATACGTTGAAGTATGTACATTATACTTAATGGTTTTTTCAGGTACCGAACAAGAATGGTGAGACCAGCGACGTAGTCCTCGGGTTTGACGACATAGATAGCTATGTGAAGAGGAACACGCCGCACTTTGGTGGAGCTATAGGGCGATGTGCGAACAGAATTGGTGGTGCTAGCTTCGAAATTGACGGCGTGAAATACCAGCTGGCTAAGAATATTGGGGAGGATCATTTACATGGAGGCATTATAGGGTTTGATCAGGTGGGAATTGGATGAATTTCTTAATTGTTGACCAAAATTTAAGAAACATGGTTATTTTTAGCATTTGTAGTCAATGAGAACGATGTACAGTGATGATAACTATTGAGATAGCTACTTGACAATCTTATTAATACGGATTCCAAAAGCTAGAATATGTTTTCCTTGTTGAATTTATTGGGTTTGGGTAACAAATGCGATATATGAGAATTGTCTACCTAACTATGTAGATATTGGACCAGTGTGGAAAACGCAGGTCTAGTCTTTCCGGGAATCTCGGTCTCTAAAATTAGGCTCGATAATTTTTTGGCCATTTTAGACACTCGAGAGTAATGTTTTCAGTTTCGGTAATATCTCGATAAAAGTCTAGACTTTTGAGACTAAGCCAAAGTAGCGCGGCAGCGACTTCAAAAGTGGCTTGCGTGTGTCACGACAGTGGCGCTGCAACTGCGCTTCTAAAAACTGTATGAACATTAGCAGCGTTTCTATAAGCGTCTAATTTGAAGGATAATATCTACTAAACCAACAATCACTTTTTATTCTGGTTACATGGACATGGCAACACTACGCTTAGTATATTTGTGTAGATTGAAGACCGGTAGTAACAAAATCAAGTCCTCTTTATCTGAACTACGTTCAGCGCCATGTGATGTATCTGAAAGTGCATCAGGTATACAGACACTTCAGTCTATAGACAGATCGCGCGTGATACAGCAATCGTGGGCGATTAGCCCCCTATGCACAGTCACTCTATCGCGCGTGATCAGGACCCTGATTTTAATTCAAAGCGAAATCGATCCGATCGGGTAGCTCATCCGCAATATTATACGCCTCGACTCGGAAAAGACGCGGTTTCCGATCGGGAGAGCGGATTGCGATTGAGATTGCGCGCGGGAACTATAAATTGTTTTTTTAACAAGTTCGCCTATACTATGAAACTTACTTTTATAACAGTCTTGAAAATTTTCGCATCGTACCGAGTCTACATTTTTCATTCCTGAGAGACCGAAAGCCCTAGTCCAGATTTGCCCCTCCACTTCATATGTTTTTGCAGGAGTTTTGTAAACTTTTTCCAATGGATACGCAACTTTCCTTGCGGTGTTTTCTATTCACAAAACATGTGTCTGGCAAGGCTTATCATTGTGTGATTGTAAATATTTGTCAACTGTGTAAGAATCCAAAACAAGGAGTTTGCTACTTCCTGATCTTTAAATAATTACTTTTCAGGTAAACTGGAAGTCCACAATCGATGGCAACAAAGTGGTGTTTAGTTATTACTCGAAAGACGGCGAGGAAGGTTATCCAGGAGATTTAATCACCAACATTATCTGTGAAGTGAAAGACGATAACAGTCTCCACATACAGTTCCTGGCCACTACTACCAAAAAGACCGTGGTGAATCTGACCAATCATTCATACTTCAATTTGGCAGGGCATGAGACCGGATCAGAAGAATTATACAACCATGTCGTTGAGATGAACGCTGACAGGTTAGTATAACTGCTTATATAATCCCATGTTTAGAGTGAGTTTCCTCTCGGGCAGGGAAAATTAATCGTTGGTTCTAATCTGACAAGAAGGATCAAGTATGGTTGGAAACAAGACGACCGCGTCTAAACGCACTCAATAGTCAGCAATATTCTTTAGACAGTGTAAGTTCTTGTAATTATTCTTGATCTATTTAATTTTCTTAACAGGATTACAGAGACGAATAGTAACTCGATACCCACTGGTGCTTTTGTGAAAGTGGGAGGCACTCCGTTCGACCTCCGTGTAGCGAAACGACTCGGTGATGCCATGAAGCAAAGTGACAAGCTCTACGATGACAATTTCTGCGTTTCTACCCATGGAAACGAAGTAAGTAAGACTTTTTTCTTTGAACTGGGAATGTTACAAGTATAGATACCTCAGAGGTCCTAGTTGCGTTATTGAGGACTACTAGATTTGATGGTTCTTGTCCGCTTTATAATGGAATTAGAGCAGGATGATGTACGGTATAATTCAGCGTAGATCTTGAAGGTCAAGTGAGTGTGGGACTACAACATTGCTCCACATAGTAAATCCATAAACCGTTTTAACATTAATTAAATTTTTATTGAATTGATATTCAATTATTTTTTGTGAAATTACTCCACTAGTTTGTTATAATTATTAATACAA